ATGAATTACACTAAATAAATGTCAGAAAACAACAAAATATTGATTCTAAAATATTTTTGAGTTATAATTGTTGAAATAGCTAGAATTAACATACTAAATTTATTTAAAACTAAATTTTGCATCTGAAAATATTTTATCAAGTGGGAAAAAAAAATATGAAAAGCCAGATGAAACCTTCTTCAGGCTCCAGGCACAATAATTTATAAATAAATTACTTTTTATAATCATATATATATATATATCAAATGTATCATACAGACAATGCAAGTGCATTGTCTAACATTTAGAAAGAATAAAAGACTTATCTTTATCAGTCACCTGTTGTAACAACACTGTGTACATTTTCTGTACTTGTTATTACAGACATTTCAATGTTGTTTTACATGTTTATGAGCATGCGTAGAACAATGTTGCGGCCCTAAGTGTTATATATATAACTACACAGTTACTAAAACATTTCATAAACAAACAAGGGAAATAAATAATCATAACTGACTATTTATTAGGCAAACAAGTACTTAGTCAAATTAAAATTCTAGTATTTTTTTATATTCTTCATGTATAAAAATTAGAATAACATCATTTTTAATAATCTAACTTTTGAAAAAAACTGGTGGAGGAAGTATGCCCCCCCCTTGACCTCTCCCCTAAATTTATGCCTCTTTATACAACATTAAAGAAAGTAGTCGCCTAATTATAAATTAAAAACATAACACAATACAAGAAAAACAGTAAATTTACACTTTATTTAACACTTAAATAGCCAGAGAGTTAGCAGTGGGTGCAACCAGCCAGTTGCTTTCCCTCTGGCCAGCAGTTCAAAATTAGTGACAGTTGTAGAAAGCCTAAGCTTTGCAATAACAAATACAGGGTGAACAAGTTTAGAGGCAGTGAGAATTGAACCCGAGACCTTTGAATCATGTGGCATCCACCATTCCCTCCACATTATATAACTTTATGTTTAACAACACACACACACACACAGTGTCTTGTAAACTAATTGATTAGTGTCTTGTAAACTAATTGATTAATCAAAATTAGGTTTTATGATTATTCCAGCTATACAAGTAATTGAAATATTGCCATTATGTGTGTGTGTGTAATCAATTAGTTTACAAGACACTAATCAATTAGTTTACAAGACATTAATCAATGTAATCAGAGGAAATTGATTACTTTGTCAAGCTCTACTGTTCACAAAGAAATGGTAGATAATTTATGTCTTTCCATAATCTGCATGTGTCCCTCTGTAGTATTAGCCTTTAGTTTATGTAAATATGGGATTACCTATTAAAAACCAAAATATTATTCGCCTTTCTAATGAGTATGTGTTTTTGAATGTACTAAGAGCAATATTAGCCATAAAGTAGGATTTTAATATATATTAAACTATTTGTCAAAGTTTATGTCCTATTGCTAGTAACATGAAAAAACAAGGTCAGAACAAAATTCATGTTCTACTGTTAACAACAGGAATAGAACCAGATTAGAACAAAGTTCATGCCCTATTGTCAGCAACATTACAAGAATCAGATGAGAACAAATAACTAAGACTGGTTCAGTTTATCATATGTCAATTAATTCAAAACTAAATATTAAAGGTTTGATGTTTTTATCAAACAATATGAGCTGCACATTATAGAAAAATGCACTAAAATAATGGTCATGTAATATTTAGTTATATTTATAAATAGTTATATTTGTAGTAATGTTATGTACAGTAATATATATAAATAAATTCATTACAGCACTTAAATAATTTTTTTTAATTTTACAAAACAGGCTTCATAAATCAAACTTGAAGATAGTGTTATTAAATAAATACAGTTAAAACTGCATACGTGAGAAAATAAAAATAAATAATAGGTTGAACAATTGCCAAATTCTTAAATATTTTTTTTATTAAAATAAGGATGATACAGTTTACATCAAAGGCACAACTTTTGTTGAAAACTGTAAAATTCAACAAAGAACACTAACTTGAAACGTCATCCTTCTTTTAATAAAAAAAACTTGATGATTGTTCAACCTATTATTTATTTTTGATAATGTTAATAGAGCCTAATTAAAAATGCTATGAGCTGTCACCGTGTTAACTATCAAGATTTACTAAGCAGGTCACAATATTTCATTTCAATTTCTCTGTCATTACCACAGGATCTTTAGACCTTGAACTCTATATTAAAGAAAGCTTACTCGTAGCTAAATACCACTGGACTATTAATGACTCATAAAACTCTTTAGATTTAAAATTGTTATAAATTTTCACACATAAGACTCAACTGTTGTGCAATATATCTACAATCCTTCCATTTACCACTTTTATTAAAAACTAAGTAAACTAATGAATGCAGTTTTAGTTGATAATCATCTAGGTAACACGATTTTCAGATTTTGCTGAAGATGGAATGAGTGTATTTCAAAACATTTGAACCTTGAAAATAAAATGTTTTGTGTTTCATCAACTATCTTCATCTTCATTATTAGACTTCAATAAGCATAATTTTGGGTTAAACTTACCTCGGTTCAATGGGGAAAATTTGTTTCCTCCACAGCCATCAGGGTTTGGACAGCGTGCTGGTTTTGGTAAAATAAAATGTTGCTCCACATCAGCCTCAACAGTAAACACATGCTTACACTTATTGCAAGTATATTGTCGCTGATATTCAAGAAGTTTAACAGATGTTGATCGAATGACAGTACCTAATAAATATGAGTAATGATTTTAAAAATATATATGCAAATTATAGAATTATGAAAATTCTTAATTTTGAATAATACACTGAACATACAACTGTTTTACTAACATAGGACATTCACTAAAATAATATACCTTTCATAATGTTGCTTATCCTTCCATAATCAATGTTAAATGACAACAGCTATAACTATACAAGTTATATAAAGCATATAAAATTATTTGTTTGCAGTTAGCACAAAGCTATAGAATGGGCTATCTGTGCTGTGCCCACAAAGCTATTAAAACCTAGTTTTTAATCTTAAATGTAGGTATGGCTAATATCAATCCTTCAGAAACAATACAGACAAGATAACAGGATGGCATTTGCATCATCCTTACATAATAGCATAGACACAGTGTATAGTACAATGCTAACAGACAAAAATAGGATAACTTAAACTCAATTTTGATTGAATTGTTTTATATACTGCTATATGTTAAAACCTTTCTTTAGTTCATTTTCAAGGACAAATATATATATATATATATATATCCCTATTTGAAACACAGTAAGTACCTAATAATGCCTGTCATACTTTAATATAAATTTTTAATTATACAGAAACTCTTAATCTTCATACTCAGAACTTGAAAAAGTTTATTCCTTTTCCAAGAGATCTGGAAGTATTGAAAGATGTAGAGTATACACAAAAATAATTGCTCCAATGGATGTTGGTTGTCCACATCTCTCCTGCTGTAGGAACTTCAGAAGAATGTTGTATCTATTTATGGTGATATCCACTTGATTGGTCATGGATGCAGAAGTTAAATTTTGTTTCCTGGAATGTGAACTCTCTAACATTGGGCATTAATCAACCTAGCCACTGATTTGATGTGGACAACCAATTAATATAACAGTACTTAACTTTGTTAATACTTGAGGCATCAACCTTCAACTAGTTAGAATTTACAATCTTCTAAAGTTGGAGTGATCCTTTTTATTATTCCATAAACTCATTTCTTAAACAACAATAAAGTTCAATATAATGTGAGATTGTTTATTAAGAAAATTATTATGCCCAGTGGCTGAAATGTAGTTTTGCTTATTCTGTATTACAGCATTTAAAATTTATTAAAGCTTTATTATTAATTTTGGTTTTTTCATACTTTTGACATCAAACATCTCCTTTGTTATCTTCAATTATTAAAAGTAAATCTTATGCTTTGAAAAAATTATTAGTGTGACATAAGGCAAAAATAAAGCAAACAATCTGAACAATAACAGTTTACCAATGAAAAATGTTATCATTTAAGAAAGAAAAAAAAAGTACTTACAGTAAACATACAAGTATGGAGATAAATATATATTTAAAGCCTTAGAAAACATGAAAAAAGTCAAAACACAGAACCAGACAAACACAAAACAAATCCAAAGCACATCCATTAATAAGTATGGAAAAATTGAAAAATACAAAGCAGAAAAAAACTTAAGTTTTTTGCTTTTACAATGATGATAAAAATATTTATGTACTATACATACACACATATTGTTTTATGATGATGATACCTCACTCAATTCCTCAAACTTATGTATGACAATTATAAAACCCCATTCACATGTTTGACAAATTAAACCATCCAAATTAAATAAACTAGCAGAGGTCCTTATGCGACATGTAGCATTTATTTTATTGGCTTCATCGCCACTGTGGATGGTTTTTCTGCTTTACAATGCATGAAGTTAAGGTTGTCTCACTCCTCTTTGTGCTTTCCAAATATCACCAATTGTGTATGGATGAAGCCCTCTGTGAGCCCGTAGCCCAAAGGCACAAAGACCATAGGAGATAACCATAAGATAATTTAAATGGTATGTCTTTTAACATGTAAAATGAATTCCCATTTGTACTTGCATCTTGCAGAGGAACTGGCACATTGATTTAGACACATAACTGTGTGATTTGTCTTCATGAAGCCAAACCTCATTGGGGCCCACCCCACACAAAAACGGTATTTTCTTGTGGAAGAGTGGTGTCAGTACATTAGTCTGATAGTCTGGAGAGTTCACTTTCACATTTTTTTTACTCACCAGGTGTTTAGTTTATCCTTATAGCTGTAACCTGCAAATTTCATGACATGCCATATACCATTCATGAAATGTATCTTGAGTGAATCACCTAGATTTGGTTGCAGATAATTAATTAGACATATGCTTCATAAACTGTGAACCCATTTCCATTTGTCAAATGCCAGGTACCACTCCTTCAGCTTTCCATTCAGTTATGTGCTTTGAGAGAAGCTTATAAACACAGCTCTTGTCACTTTTGTAGTCATATATCCACGTAACTTATCTGATTGACAATTCCAAGTAAGCTTCCTGCTTTAGCTTAAAAGGAATGCTGTTTTATTGGGTTACTTCTTATATTTACAATTTAAGAACAGAAGAGTTTTGCATAGGAAAGTACTATAATGCAACCCTCCCAGATGAGGTCAGTTTTAGATACAACAAAAGGATTAGGGTTTATAATCTATATAATCACAGGCTAAACACAAGATAAATCAATATGTAAATTACTATAAATCATGAAAAAAACAAAACATTTATATCAACACTACTATGAGTATCATGCTACATTATCATTGACAAAATAAACTGAACAGTTCTTAAAACATTTTTTTCAGCTTAGTTACTTTTATCTCAGCAATGCTTGATTTTATCCACAGTCATGTGTTTTCACTGATTCTAATAAATTGAAGTTCATTAAATGAAATGTTTTTTGAAGCACAAAATTGTTAACCAAAGAAAAAACAATACTTCCTATGCAGTTTTATTCATCACTTTTAAGGATATTTTATTATAAATGGTATGAGGTAGTGGTTGTTGTTGGTTGCTGACTTTCTTGCAAAGCTATATGAGGATTGTCTGTACTTGCTATCCCTAATTTTGAAGTGGCAGATTAAAGGAAGGAAGGTAGTCAACACCACCAACAGTCAACTCTTGAGATACTTTAATTGAATACTGGGATTTGAATGATACTTTTATAATGCACTCATAACATTATACATTTATATATATTTATTATA